TTATTTATCTTCTATAATTGAAACTTTGTTGCCTTGAGTGGAGGCCGCAGCAGGCCAGGGCAGGCGGGAAGCTTGGCTTCCTCCATCACTGGGGCAACCAAGCCTCCTGCTTGCTCCAGCTCCATGGCTGCCGGCCGCCATCTTGGTTGGGTTAATTTGCATATAGTTGCTCTGACTGGCTATTGGGTTTGGCTTAGGGTGTAGCAGAGGTGATGTCAATTTGCATGTTTCTCTTTTATTAGATTAGACTAGAGGCCCAATGCACAAAATTCGTGCAAGGGGCTCAGTCCTCAAAGTCCCTGCTGCCCCGGCCAGCCCTCAAAACCCTGGCCAGCCCTCACAGCCTCATCCAGCCCTCTCAGCTCCTCACAGCCTCACCCAGCCCTCACAGCCCCGGCTTCATCCGGAAGGTTGTCCAGATGGTCAATCTGTTGTTCAGTAATTAGCATGTAAGCTCTTTATTATATAGTAGAATCCCAAGCATCAAACTCTTTTCAAACATTATTATTAATGCCCTTATTAGTTCTATCAATATGTCTTAGTTGTATCAAAACATGAACAGAAGATAGAGTAAATTGTAAATATATCATAGTATCAAATAACATAGTAAGAATTTTGATTTCAAGTCTTGTTCCTTCCTCTACAATACACTACCTTTCAAGTAGAAGTGTAGTTTCGGTGGGGGAGGGGAGAGAAAAGACACTAATTGGAAGCATATAAGTTGGCATAGCAGTAAGGATATCTCATTGCCATAATACGCTCTTTGTTATTATGTGTGTTTATTAAATTGCTTTATTGACATCAAAGAAAAAAATAAGTTGTCTAAACATTTCAGAATTTAGGTACTGGATTTTACACACCATAATATGTCCTATTACAACATAGTTAATATTTTATAGTTTGATAAGGAGAAATAAGGTGAGATAAAATTACAGTTGTCATTTCCCTGGCAACTTTGAAGCATATTTATCATCAACATAATTTCATGGCGCATTCACCAAAGAGCTCTGATGTACTAAAATCAACTATAAGATATACCTGAATAAAGAAATCTGCACAAGAGATTCTAAAATGTCCATTATGAAGACCAAAATAATTGTTACATTTACTAATTTGTTTAATTTAATGACAAGTTAATAATTAGTGAATACAACTATTACAGTTGATATAGTTGCAAAACAAAATTAAATAATTACTTAATTTAAATTACTTAATTTAAATAATTACTATTAAATCTATCCATTTGTAAAATTGAAGAAAATAACAGTGGGAGCCAAGAAACTGAGCCGGGGGGGGGGGGGGGAGGGGAGGCTAGGAGACTGTCTAGGGCGGGGGGAAGGAGAAGGGACATATGTAATACCCTTTGTAATAAAAAATTAAAAAAATAAAAATAAAAATAAAAAAAAGAAACTGAGCCAAATAGTATTACTCCAATGTCCTTTACATGTGGAATTTTAAGTATTATAGCAACAAATAAATACAAAACAATGATAATGTAACTAATATTTGAAGTATTAAAATTTCACTCAAGATTGAAAAGTAGCATCCTTTATAATTATAAAGGAAAGATGTACAGTGGTAGTCTTATTATAGTTTTAAATAAAAGAAAGAAAGCAACTAATAGTAACTCCATTTCTTTAAGGTTTACTTACTAATATTTTTTTTCCTTTTGTTGTGTTATGTTTCCCTGATTATTTGTAATCCTTGTGGCCTTTGTTAGTGTCTGTATATTAGAAGACACCTCT